TACTGATAATAATAATCCCCACATGATTCAAACTTTAAAGTCATACCAACACATTCAATAACACAATCCAATTACACACTAACAGTCTAACATTGATAGTGTAATATAAACGAAACAACAAAAGAAACATCCACATTCAAAGTCATCCATGCATAGCATGACATTTTCATACAGTCAAAATTTATAGAAGCACAACTAGCATATAGAATCCAACACTCAATAAATAATAGATATCATTTATGAACAATGAAGTATTGAGCATGCAATATGAACTATAAAGGCCGAAGGGAGCTCTAACTTGTTAATCAAAAGAGGTCGAGGAGACGAACGCAATTGCAGACAAAACTCGACTAAGTTGACGCTGAAGACTGGAAGAAACTCAAAGCCGAAGAGCAGGAGCCATGAGCAAGATGAGCCATAATGTTAAGGGGTAGGGGTAGGTGGATGTATATGTGTGTTACTCTTCCTTTTACTGGAAAGGTCACTGTTTTCTACTAACAAAGGGATAGATATGTAGATGTGTGTGGGTTGTGTTAATATCTGATCTATTAAAAAAAACACACAAAACAAAGGAGTCATGATAATTATGTTTATTAAAAAAATAGGAGTTGTTTAAAATTATTTTCGTTTTTTAATTTTAAAAATTAATGTTTTATACAACATGTTTTGAGAATCAAAAAAATAATAAAAATATATATTTTTTATATTTTTTTTTGTTTTTCCGAACAATAATCTCAAACTATTTAAAAGATATTTTTATTTTCTATTCTTTAAAATAATATTTAATTTTTTTATTTTTCAAAACACTTTTTAAAAACATATTATTAAACAGTTTTTTTTGGTAGAACAGAAAATTAATCCTAAAATAGATTGCTAAACAAGCCTTTAAATTCTCTTCTGATAAATACATTTTAAGTGAAGAGGGGGAAAATTGCAGGGCCCACCCAAACCTCTATCTCATATTCTCATTCTCTCTTCGCATGTAATTGGAGAGAATTTTCTCATTCGGGAAGAAATCTTAAATTAAATATAAAATTGTGCATGTTTTCCTTTGTGTTGCACTGTCACTTATTACCAAGCTCCGCTAATTGATGCCTTGATAGTGCTGCGTGAGTGTTCTATCTTTTTGTCCCATCAAAACACAAATAGGAACTGAGATGAGCCAGACATGTTCCATGAATTCAATTAATTGATCGCAAATAAAGTAATTGATCCCAAACTTTTCCCTCTCATTTCACCCAAAAAAGAAGAAGAAGAAGATAAGTCTTAACTGTTATTATTATTTTTTTTTTGGGCCAACATGATGACGTCTTAACTTAATAAAGTTTACTTCGGCTAATCACAAATTAGACTGTTTTACTCACTCTTCTAGAAAAGCCTGAAACCTTTGATTATTTGAGCCATAGAGAGTTGCTGGATCAATTTCTATGACTAATTTGACGATAATAAATGCTTTTGTTTGGATAAGAATTTTATTATTTTTCTCATGAATAGACTACACGTCTGCTTAAGTGTAAATTAAATAATTAATAATTTTTTTATCTATTAAAAAAGTTGGTTGACTTAGACAAAGTTTGTTTAATACAATTTCAACAAAAAAAAGTACGCACATGACTTGCAGAAGAAACTGTCTTGTTTTTGTGCGGCACATGGTTTTGTGGGACATATAATTCTTGTTCTTATAGTAATAATCCGTGAACATTTGTACGCCTCTAGATAATTAAAACAAAATTACTTGTAATAGAATTGTATTTAGTTTGAATATGAAATCGGCCTGTAGTTTATATAATTAAATTTATATAATAAATGATAAAGATATAACAAGAAAAACATCATATTGAAAATTAATCTTTCAACGCTATATTTCTCTTCCGGGATAGAAATTCCACCTTAGTCTAATGTCATAGTCATGATATGATTTCGCATTCTGTAATCTAGCAATTGTGTACCACGCTTTGCAATTTTAATCATTATGATTACGATTATGTCATCAATTTAAATTTAGCATAGTGAAAGGGATTTATAATCTCTTAATGTTTTTTTTTTAAATTGAAAGCGACGATTTCTTGATAAAATAAACGATGTGATTTATTTGGTTCATCATGACAATTGATGAGTTATGAATCACTCCTGATCTTAAAGCCTCCCACGTTTTGCAACATTTTTTCAAAAAAAAAAAACCAAAATAGATTGATAGAACATATTTGTAGAAATTAATTGTCACTGGCTTAGCATTTTTTTTAAAAAAGAATTACTATGAAGTCCCACGACCTTAATTCACTTGTTAATAGACTTTATAATAATTAATTTTGTTATATGGTATATGCATTTAATTCTCTCTTTTTCCTTCCATTTGTTGAAATAAATTAGTCATTACTTTAATTGTTATACTCCCTATATCTTTTCTTTTAATACAATTACCCATTATTTATGGGTTGAGCTAGACATGATCACATTGGTAGCAAAGCTCTTCCAATAAATATTTAATACGGCTGCATATTCAAGAGTCAGGATTCAAACTTGAGACAACTAATTAAGTTAGTATGGTCCTTTATCAGTTGAGCTACATGCTCGTTGGTTTTCTCTATTTTTAAATAGAGGATAAAATAATAGATTCACATAGTTTAAAAACTTAGTTAAGTACAATAACTATGTCTAAAATTAAAAAATGAAGACTAAGTTATGTTTTTAACTAATGAAGCAAAATTGTCCAATGAAAATAAACATGGATTTTATAAGTGACAATTTAAAAAAATTAATATTTCTTAAAAATTATAGTATTACGTATAAATAAAAATAAATAAATATATTATTTTTCTTATATTTAAAAACAGAGTAGTAATTAGCTTCAATGATCAATAAACTTGTAGATTGATAAAATAAACTTGGAAAAATTAATTGTCACTAGCTGAGATTATTTTTTTTTGTCATTCGCTGAAACAAAATACTCGTTATTTTAACTATTATAGTCATTCAACTCTAGATATCAATAAACCTGGAGACTGATAACAATTTTGATGAATATTTGTGTCATTTTCCATATTTTTTAGTACTAAAAAATATATTTTTAATTTAATTGTATCTTGTAATTCTTAAGGTAAACCTAAAAATATATAATAAATAATAAATTCAATAAGTTATGATGTCGCGTACTCATATACACTGTTTCAGTGTGTTGAATTTGGATAAAAAGATGGAAGAAGAGAAATAAAGGAGAGGAAATGAAAGCCGTTGGGAGAAAGGGTAACATAAAAGAGGCATCCAGCGGCGAAAACCGCGTGGCCAGACCCTCCCACACGTTCGATTTGTCATCTACTTTGACCGACAAACCCTTTTTCTTTCTTATCTTTTTTTCTTTCATCTTTTATCAAGTGACGGATTCAGAACGTGACACGTGGAGGGTCACATTTAAAAAAATTCATGAAAGTGGTGCGGCCAAAATTTGTTTTCCCATTTTTTTAAGCAAACATCGTAAAAATTTACTCAAAAATCTCCCCCAAAAAGTTCAAGTGAATTGGATGGAGAGCTTATAAAGCCACGGCATGCTTTTAAATTTAAATAACATTCATTTTGAATGAAAATAATTTCAAATAAAATCAAAAGCTGTAATTCAAAGAATATTTATAAAAATATTTATAAATTGCTTCTAACCTTTGTTTGTATTCTTTTTCTCTCTCTGATTTTTTTAATAGCATAAGATGTAGATTTTATTGATAGTAAAGATCATCTTCTCAAGACACAGAAGGCAAAAGGTAAGGGGTTGTTTAAAATTATTTTTATTTTATTATTTTGAGAATTGATATTTTGTAAAATATATTTTAAAAATAAAAAATAATAAAAATAAATTTTTTTATTTTTTTATTTTCCAAAACAATAATTTCAAAACACTTGAAAGTTATTTTTATTTTTCTACTCTCAAAAATAATATTTTATTTTTTATTCTTTAAAATACTTTTTAAAAACATGTTACTAAATATTTTTTTTATTCTTTTATTTTAAAAAATAAAAAAATATTCTCAAAATAAGTTATTAAACAGGCCCTAAATCTCTCTTAACTAAATTGTTACATGTATAAGGATTGTGATTTGAGTTCTCAATCACTTATTTAAGTGATGAGAACTCTTATTGCTTATGCCAATTTTAACTGACACTCTTTTCTCTTTCTTACTTTTTCTTAGTTTAAAATAAATTTATATGAAATATTTTCATTGTCATAATCAAATTTGGATTCTCTAAGTTGGAATGGCAGCATCGTCGTACTGTTGTGATGTTGTGTTATCAACTCATTCCCATGCACACCATTCAGTGTTACTTGCCAGTCTCACATTTGATGAGGGAATGCAACACCGACATAATCTAATTGAATTCAAGCTATTTGATTATATTATTTTGTTTTTCATTTTAGATATTTTTTTAAGACTATTTTTATTTATCCGGGTGGATTCATGGACCAAATCAAAATCTTTAATAAATGTGGTTGTTCGTGACATTAGATCAAAAAATTGATCTACCAACTTAAATTGTCGTAGATAACAAAAAGTTTTTGTTCGTTAAGCAAGCTCGAAAGTGTATAAATCCACTTGAATAATAAATGTTTTATTCTTCCGGTCAAAACTAATAAAAAAATTGATGATGATAAAATAAAAAATAAAATTAATATTAATATATCATCCATATCAATATCATTCACGTCAATATAAAATATAAAATTTATAATACATTTATAAGTTTGAAACAATAAAATTTATTATTCAAATTTCATATAGTGTACCGTCATAGTACAATTGATTTTCAAATTTCACACAACATGGGTCAAAATAAACATGCTATAAAGTTGACTTGAAATAACCAACCAATCCACAATTTCTTAGAATCAACGAATAACAAACAAGCGGAGATCATTTAATAATTACTAGTTGTAATTAATACATCTAAGTCCACGTAATTTCAGGGCAACAATAGTGGCGTTAAAGTAATTTCCCAAAGCTCGACCTTCATTGTTGTTCATATAAATAAAACGGCAATATGCGTTTCAGAGGGAAAGATCAAGAGGGCAAGAAGAAGGAGAGCTGGAACACCTCTCTCTCTATCTCTGAGCTATCTTATCTCCAAAATCAGAGAGGCTCGAGCTGGGGATTTTTGTGATTCTTAAGGTGAGAATCTACGAAGTTATTTGTCTTCCTTGCTGATATAGTGAGTTTTCCATAAAGCGTTGGTGCTTTGAGCCACTTTCGCGATTTTCAGATAAAGCTGAGAAAGAAAAGACGCCTCCTGATAATTTTAAATTTTATTTTTCTATAAAATCTGGTTCTGCGGCTTGAAATTTCAGGTTTTAGTAATATCAGCAAAGTGATTGATCTGAATCTCTGGGCTTGAATTTTTCTGTTCAACGATTATATTCGTGAATTCATACTATTTTGTGGCGGTTCCTAGCTAGGGAAGGTGCTCTTGGTTTTGTACTGATGCTTACAAATTTTTTCCTTATTTAGGTAAGTGTACGATTTTGAAGATCTTTCCGTAAAATTGAGCGTAAGCGCTGGGTGAAAAACGGGGTATCACACACACACACACACACACACCCCTGAATTATTTAGTGCGTATACAACACGTAAACTTTGCACGCTATTTCTGTGTACTAGTAGGCGGCTAGCCTCCCTTTCTTTCTTCTTCTTTGTCTTCTTCTGGTGAACAATCGTTCCCTTTCTTTCATTGATATTAGAAATTTGATTCTTGAATTGTTTTCAGAGAGTTTCAGTGTGGTTTCTAACGCTAGCTGGTTTTTATTTAGTCAGTATGGATACTGCATCTTGGTTTTGTGTGGTTATGGCTCTTCTATCATGTTATTGTTCCTATAATTGTTGTCTTGTTACACTTTATGCAGAATAACACAACTCTAGGACACTGCTTTTACCTGGTAAAATATTGAAAGGTGGACATCAAGCATGAAGCCTACGAAGTGAAGAGGTATCAAACTTTTCTGTCAAAGAACATTGGGTATATTTGCGGAAAGGCATTTGGCACTTCTTGAGATTATTCATTGAAGTGGTTATTTTTCCATGGAAACTTCGGAGAAACATTCATATGGGTCTGGAAGGTTCTATGTTGGGCACCAAGACTACAACTCATCCGATAACACCAGCCAAGTGACTACTTACTCTTCAGTTCAGACTTTAGAGCAGCATTACACCCTAGAATCTTCCTCAAGAACAAACAGTTTCCCAAACCATAATAATTCTCCATCTACTGCCAATTTCTCACCTAATGACAGCCCTGCGTCACAGCTGGAGTCAAATTCTTATGCCCTAAAGTCTCAACACTCACTTGATATCATCAATGGCTCGCTAGAGAATGAATCTTGCTTGACAAATGACCTTGATGACTTGAGCCACAAGATAAGAGAGCTCGAAACTGCTATGTTGGGACTTGATACAGAAATTCTTGGGATGTATGATACTGTAGTTCCTGTGGAATCTAATCAGATTTTGTCAGAGGCAGAGAAGTGGAAGCTAACAATGGAGATAGTATGCAGAGGGGATTTGAAAGAAATGCTTTATGCTTGCGCAAAAGCGATGGATTCAAATGATACAGAGACAACTGAGTTGTTGATGTCTGAGATTCGGAAAATGGTGTCCATTTCAGGTAGCCCAGTCCAACGAATAGGAGCTTATATGTTGGAGTCTCTTGTGGCAAGGATGGCCAGTTCTGGGAGCGCAATCTACAAGGCTTTAAAATGCAAGGAGCCTACCGGTAATGAACTCCTTTCTTACATGCACTTGCTTTATGAAATCTGCCCATACTTCAAGTTTGGGTATTTATCAGCAAATGGGGCAATTGCCGAAGCCATGAAGGAAGAAAATAGGATCCATATCATTGATTTTCAGATTAACCAGGGCGGCCAGTGGATAAGCCTAATTCAAGCTCTTGCTGGACGACCAGGAGGGCCCCCAGAGCTCAGAATTACTGGTTTTGATGACTCTACTTCAAATTTTGCTCGTGGAGGGGGTCTCAATATCGTGGGGAACAGACTATCAAGACTTGCACAATCATGTCAGGTTCCCTTTGAGTTCCATGCTGGTGGAGTTGCTCCTTCCAAGGTGCAACTCAAAGATCTTGATCTTCGACCAGGTGAAGCTGTTGCTGTAAATTTTGCCATGATGTTGCACCATATACCGGACGAAAGCGTGGATAGTCAGAATCCCCGTGACCAGTTGTTGAGATTGGCAAAGTACTTGTGCCCCAAAGTGGTGACTCTCGTGGAGCAGGAATCCAACACCAACACTGTCCCATTCTTCCCCCGTTTCGTTGAGACAATGAACTATTATTTGCCTATTTTCGAGTCAATTGATATAGTTCTGCCAAGGGAGCACAAGGAGAGGATCAATGTGGAACAACACTGTCTGGCACGAGAACTTGTCAACTTAGTTGCATGTGAAGGTGCAGAAAGGGTGGAACGCCACGAGCCTCTAACGATGTGGAGGTCACGCTTTGCCATGGCTGGATTTAAGCCGTATCCATTGAGCTCCTTTGTGAATTCTACCATCAAGAATCTGCTGGAGAACTACTGTGGAAATTATACTCTAGAAGAGAGAGATGGTGCACTATACCTTGGTTGGATGAATCAACCTCTTATTGCCTCTTGTGCTTGGAGATAAAAATCCCCCAGAGCTGGAAATTGATTCAATTTTGCTATTGAGGGCTTTTAGTGAGGTAACCTATATCTGTATATTTCTATTTTCCCTTCAATCTTCATTTCATAATGAATTTACTCTATACTAATATAATACTTTCGTCACTCAAAACCATCCAGGCTTTTATATCAGAAATATCAGTTTCAGCAAGGAAGGAAGAAGGCTGGATTATATGAATTTATCTAGGTTTGCGGCTTGGGCCAAAGCCTAAGCGCATATTTGATATATGGAAATGTGTTTTTTATAAAGGAAAAGAAAAATGTATGTGAAAGACAATAGGATGTGTGCATTTTTCATTTTCTTTCTAGAAAACACTTTTTCATGTACCAAGCATGTGCTAATAGTCTTTAGCTGTTGGGCTTAAGCTTACCTTGACTTAGACTCATAATTAAAGACCTAGTATGTCCTAAGCACAAGTTTGAGCTCGATACACATTTTTGTATAAAATTCTGTCAGTTTTTAAGGGGGGAAAATGTTAATTGCTCTTCTAATAATAAATAAGTTCTATGTTTATAGCATTCGCCTAAAAAACAAAAGGTTCTAAGTTTATAGCCCAAAGGCATAGGCCTATTATATTGGGCCAAATATACACACGAGTTGGCCTAATCACTTAAAGCTTGGAAACAAACCGAAGGGTTATCCAAATGAGCCCTTTGTAAATTACGTTCTAAACATGCTAAACAAATCCTGGGAATGATGATTTTAGGAGCATTCGAAGTTATTAATTTAGATGAATCTGAGAATAGTCTTAACTAAAATACCCAAGAAATTTGAAACTCTCTGAACCAAGACAGTTTCCAATAGGACTTGTAGTTCAGATCTTTCTCAGTAGTGGCTTTGAAGGGTTGTTCAAAGAGTTTAGCAAACGAAATTTTTATTTCATAGGTGCAAAAATTTTATTTGTAGACAAGGAACCAGGTGCAAAAGGCAGATTTTGAAAGAAGAAATCTTTAAAGATTTTTTTGGTGCATTTTGATGCTCCATAATATAAGATATTTTATGAAAAATAATAATTTATCTATAAAATTTATTCTAAAATTATCTATTGTTTCACTCCTCAAGTATCTCTCTCTCCGTTATTAAATAAAGAATATTTCTGGAAATGCTTTTATTGAAGAAATTAATATTTTAATTGACTATATTGGTATTCACAATTTTGTTAAAAAAATATCTTATAAAATGGAAGATAGACAAGTATTGAGTTGGAGATTCCGAGTTAGATGCATCTCTACCTAGCTCTAATCTCTGCATCTCTGATAAGATAAAGAAGAAAACAAATGCATCATGTGATATGATAAGAAATATAACAAAAAGAGAATTGTACAAAAGGGGGAAACAGCTATTACTCATTGTATTTGATATCATAGGAGGTAAAAGAAGATATTTCTTTTCCTGATTTTCACGCCATTTTGTTGTTGCAACTAGTTATATAATTATAATGTGTGGGTCCTAAAGCTCAACTTGCTTGTAAACTGGTTGTACAAAGTGCAATTTTTTTTTTTTAAGGAGTGTTACGAAAAAGTATTAAATTTTTTAATTTCATTGTCTGCTGTCTTGGTAAACTTGAGATATTACCATCTCCTATCTAGATTCAAACTCTTGCTTTGTGAGATTATTATTAACAGCGGTGATCTCACAGATACTTTAAGAATATTTTTGACATATTTATTTAATATGATTACTCAAACTCAAGAGCATAGGATAAACTAATTCAACCCCTACCACCAGTTGAACTAAATGTCTCTTGGTTAAAAAATAAAAATAAAAAAATTACTTTTAACTTGTTCTTTTTGAGCTAAATTGATATTGCAAACTAAAATAATTTAGGCTTGTTTGGTCGCTACAAAGAAATGAATTGAAAAAATAAAGGTAATAATGAAATGATAAAAAATGTGAAAAAAGAGAGGTGAATTATACTCATAAAAGAAAGGGTAATTTAACTATTGGGTTGGGAGTTATGAATCATGTGGTTTGTGAAGGAAGCAATGATGCTTACATTTGTTAGATATATATTAAATTTTATCATGTTTATTATAAAGAGAAAAGGTTATTTAGTTTATTTTTTATTTGATCTTTTCAATTCAATTCATTCTCATCTTTTTTTAACAATTAAACAAGACCTAGCTATATGGAAATTAGGTGAATGATCACTCTCTTCTAACAAATTCTAATCAAGGAAGTTAAAATCATTTTTTTTTCTTCACTTCATATTTTAGCAGAATAAAAGATTCTAATTGCTCCATGCTCATCCAAGTCAGGCCTTCTATTTTTGGTGATTATAAAAGAATTCGCTCCATTTACAACTCTTTACTCTTAAAGCTGAGAACACAATCCTTTGAGAATTTCCATTTTCCATGTAAATGGAACTCTTTACTTTTAAATGGAACACAATAATAGAATCAGGGAATCACCGACCTGGAATTCAACCAAAGGCAAGACGCTATAGTTTTGAACAGCATTATGTGAAAACATGGGCTCTAATTATACGCAAGTGCAAAACAAAAGGAAAGAGAAAGACAATGATAAATTCACGGTTATTCTTGAGATTAAAGTGCAAATCATATATGCTCTAATTTCACATTGTCCACAAGGAAAAGAGGAGTCAGACTTAATTGCTTACACTTTTTTTTTCCCCAAACATTTGAAGTACAATTTACTTGTAATATTTCGTGTACAATTCATAAGATTTCACACTATCAAGCACGTCATAGATCACAAACTGTTTTGAACATGAGTTGCTTGAACATACAACAATCTCTTTTTAATTACAAACAAGAGTTCTTCAATGAAAGGCTTAACGCCCCTAACATAAACAGTACCTTTTACAAGGGTTTCTCTTAAAGAAGCAATTCTGAAATCAGCTTCACTTCTGTACAGATGAACTCCAATTTTAATTTACAAACAGTAATTAGACCTCCAAGTCAACCTGAAGAAAAAAGGCAGCTAATAAAAGCAATATAGATGCGGATCTCAAATAGTGAATCTACACATAAAAATGAACTATCTGCATTTTCATAGTGATAATAAGGTGTTTTACCCTTCCATCTCTCGCCGCCAAAATGAAGTAAAATAATACTTGGAAATTTATCTTTCCTCAGTACAGAGTAGACAACTTCATGGACCTGTTAGTATTCTTCCCATGCCCTGTGGGCACCGATAAGTGGAATGGTTCAAAGATGGAGGTTCTCTAGAAGAACCGTATGGATTTGAGCCATTGTTTAGAACACCAAAGTATGCTGGAGCTGGGGTGTTATGAACAAACTTGAAATTGGAACTGTTAGCATGAGTTTGACCATTCCCAAATTCAGAGAGTAGCATTTTCCCTTGCCCATTCAATCTATTTTCAGCAGCCGAACTGATTCCCATCCCGAGATCAAGGCTAATAGTATCGCTTTCTTCCGATCTTATTCGTGTCTGTCCGGCTGCAGCTGCTGGTCCTGCTGTATCATGGCTACTGCTTCTTGCAGTAGGCACATCATGATTGTGCTTACCCTCGTATGTGGTTATTACTGCTTTGGGATCATGAGAAGCCCTTTCCACATGTTTTCTAACAGGGCAGCCAGCATTTGTGCATTTGTAGTAACTCCTGCAAGAGTAAGCATAGTGAGAAACAGACAAGCATGAGAAGATGAAGCTAAAGACTTACTTTCTTGTTAGCCATAAAAACTAGGTCCAGGGACATAAATTTGATTTACAGTTTCATGCTTTTGATCCATTTCCAAAACACCGAAAGTACAATTATTATTGCAGTAAAAACTCAATAAAAGCAACGACACTCCCAGGCCAAATGTTAACTTGCTGAAGATTGACATCGCAGAAAGCAAAAAATTCTGCATGTCTTGGGCAAATTACGTAAAATACTGGCTTTGCTGGAAAACATACACACACGCACAAAACTTCACAATTGCAAATGTAATATTAATATACCATAACAACGAAATTAAAAAAAAAGAGGGAGGATTTTAAAGACTAAACAAAAATTGGACTAGAAATTAGAAGAGCCCCCTAAGTTACATAGATAATATTGCTGCAAGAAAGAGATAGTACAGTGCTTATATAACCCTTGATAGTTTACAATTACATGTCAAGCTGAAATCTCACTTCAATTGTTGTCCAGACGGTAAGCGAGAGATGAAAATAGGACAACAATGAAAATGAAAAATCTCTAATGACGAGCATATTTTAGATTTTATTTCCAATTTAGTCAATCTGGATTAGTCTCCTAGCCATATATGTGAGGACATACCTAGGGTTGGGATTGCCTCTCACCACCTTCTGCCCATACTTTCGCCAACGATACCCATCATCCAATATGTCAACCTCACTTAGAGTTTGTACAACAACCCTTGGTTCTCGAATAGGCTTAACTATAGGAGTAATGTCAGCATTTCCATTCTCTACCTTCCTGCTTAGTAAAATGCACAATGATCAGCAAGTAAGCACAGGAGAAAACTCACAGATTTGGCCAAAACTTTTCAAACCTTCGCTTTGAGAAGGGATCATCATCATCAACCTCATCACTGATCCTATTAGAAGCTAATCCTGCACCCTCCCGACCATCATCATTTGCTGCTAAAGCAGATAACTCTGGATTACCGTTGGGCTCAGTAGTGTGAGACACTTGACCATACATATGAACTGTTTTATATACAGAGGAAGAATGAGGATAAAAGAACAGTCATATAATATACATTGGAACAAGCAATAACAGTTGGAATTAACGAAAAGCATTTGGTTGTTTACCATCTTGGCCAGACAACGATGAAGGTTTATCAGATCTCTCCTCATGCATAGACATAGTAGTACCAGAAGAGTATCGGCGACTGGGTTGAGGTTTAGGATGATCATGTGATCCCTTGTAAATTATCTCTGTGATTTGCCCATCATGAGAGCGTTCAAATAGTTTTTTGACTTCGCAGTTAGGATGTGTGCATTTGTAATAGCAGCGTGGAAATTCACTCCCTTTAACATGCTTCTGTCCATATTTCCGCCAATTATATCCATCATCAGATGTTCTCTCAGCAGCAACTGAGACACCGCTGCCTCTGGAAGGGTTAGACCCATCCATATCGGCTTGAACAGGAGCACTAGCCCCTGAACAAACCATTTGAACAGGTGATGATAAACTTAATTCATTTGAGGGCATTGCCATCTCACTTTTCACTAATGGTGATGAAGCAGAAGACTGAGCTGGGCTCGAACCTTGTATTTGCATAGATGGTTCATTTACATGGTTGTTGAAATCTGTGGAAGCCTGACATTAAGTGAATAACATTGAGTAAGTACTAGCAATCTTGAAAACGACAATGAGATTGTAACATGAAATATGACAACCATGCTTGTTTCCAACTAAACTTCAAACAAAGGAACTAGAAAATTATAACATCAAAGGGATGATTTAATCAAATACGATAATGTTGCATATAGTTAGATATATAATTAAACTTCACATCTTGTTAACTATGTACACACATTAAAGCGCAGAAGAAACCCAGGTTCATACATCCACCTGATTAAACAAGATATGTTCATCACATTATTAAGATCAACAAATATTCCATTACCATGTTCGATCTATTGTTTGAGTTAAACTCAAAGAAGCCACATATTTTGTCATCAACAGTATTGGTTTTGAAGCGTACAGTTGTTGAAGGATATGTTGCAGAAGAAACAGAATCTTGAGCAGACTGAGGTTTAGTAAGAGACCCAGTGGTTGGTGAAGGCTCCACCTGCAAATCAAGAAAAGATGTAACAAATAAATCACAGCCCTTAAAGTGTAGCAATAGCTTACTGTAGTAAAACATACAATATGCAGGGGGAGTACATTTAGTTTCATGGGAAATAAAATGAAATGGGCGGGGGAAAAGCAAAAACAATAGAAGAACGGTGAGTTTCTCAATACCAGCAAATCATTAGGCCCCAAACATCAATAAAGGAATCAGCAAAATCAGTGATAACCTTACAAATATTATGCATATATACCCTGTTGGTAATACCCCCCCCCAACAAACTTCCAGTATGTTTATCTAAAGTGAAAATAGAAAGGAGAGAACACGTATAAACATCTGAGATAAGCAAACTACCGAGCAGATTTATAAGCCAGCAATGCATAAAGGCTCACAATATTTTCGCAAAGGAAAAATTATTTCTTCTCTCAAAACGTTAGGGTTCCTAGGACTAGATAGATAATCAGAAGATATGTGCTGTGGTAGACTGGTAGTTATATAAATACAACTGTGAAAAACCACTCCTGCACGAATCTCGCATAGAATTCTGCACAAATTAAGGCCGCCTAGACGATTAATGTCTAGATAATTGTGTCCTTTCAATTTAAAAAAGCAAAAAAAACTTGACCCACAATCTTTCTGACATTCCCTATACTATTCTCAGGGCACACTTAAAAAATCATTCCACTAATCCTTAAATGCATTTATTCGTTTATTCCAAACACAGATTGGAGATTGATTTTCAGTATAGCCAACTAAACAGTAAACAACCGCAAACAAACAAAAAGAGCAAGCACCAACAAAAAAGGAAGATTCATTATGTGAAAAAACAACACTGACATTAAAAAAGAATGTTGAGCGATCCTAAGAGCAAGTCAGATTCCAATGAATACTATATCAGGGAAAGGGCATAAAGCAGCCAACACAGAATTCTGCTAGAGAGCAGGCATCAGAATCCACCGGTCCCAACTTCCAACAGAAGCAAGCACCGATATATGAAATCAACTAATTGAAAGACCAAAGAAGAAAAAGCCAACTAAAAGAAATAATCGCCACGAGCAGAAACAAGCATATACGGTGCACTAACAAGAACATCGAATTTTTCATTAAAGAAAGAGCATCTTTAGCTCATCAGCATTTAAATCACGTCATAGAAGTTATCAATTATTCCTTCCAGAGTATAATCCTGGACGTGAAAAGCTCGCGAGAAAACAATTTGAGCCCAGCAAAGCAAGGCATGGACCTACATATTTGGTCGCAGGGTATAATAAGCAGGGAAATTGTCGTGAAAATAACAGATTCTCCAAATGCCACTCACAGTGGAAGACCTTTATTTCACCAGAGTCAACTTAACAACACTATCCTTGACCCCATTGAGCTGGACAAAAATACATTACGACCTCACTTTCCTTGTTATTACTCTCGTAACCAAACAGAGCTAAAAAAATCTTCAGTATATCCCACACACGCACCGCATTATCAAGCCAGAGGGGAAAACCAGAAAAGAAACCTAAAATAAAGAAGCCGGAGCTTACCTTGACGTTGGAGAGAAGCACGGGGGACTCGAGGAAGGACGAGGGACTAAGACCAGGGGGAATCGTGATACAGGGCGACCTGGAGATCGGAAGACTAGCAGGAGACAAGAGCTTGTACCTGGCACCTCGGGAAACGACGAATTGAGTCGAATCGGAAGAAGCAACCTGGCGGAGCCGGAGCTCCGAACCGGAACGGGCGTCGGAGGAGTTGATAGTGTTGTCCATTGTGAGAGAGGGAGCGGGAGAGAGGGAGTCAAAGAGGAAAGAGGAGGGGCAAAAAGGTCATTTCACAGGGGAAGTGTTGTCAGGAGGAGGAGGACTGGAGGAGACGGGAAGGGAGAGAGAGAGAGAGAGAGAGAGACGCAGTTGACTTGTAACTTTGGATCTGCTCTGTGTCTCTGACGGCTTGTGTGAGTGAGGGAGCGTCGTTGGCTTCGCTGCTTCTTTCTCATTTTAAACGTTCCCTCCTTCACCTCCTTCCACTTCAACCAACCAAACCAACCCCCTACGCCCTAACCATCAATCATTTTTTTTAATCACAACAAAATAAATTAGAGTTGTTGCCTGTGACTATATTAATTAATATTTAATATAAAAAAATGGAATGGGCGCATGTGTTGCAGAAACAAGTAAAAGTTATTTATTAAAAAATTTTCACTCTTCATTTATCATATTCTCACTGTTTAAAAATATAAAATATTTTTAATTTAATTTTACTCTCAATAAAATAATTATCTACTCTTAAATTAATTATATTTTTTTATCTTTATTCATATTAAACACTCTAAAATAAATATAAAGTCATTATCGATAGAGATACTTTTAAAATAAGGCAATGATTACACATCAAAATATTAAAAATGTTTTATATTTTTGAACATCTAACTCTTTAAAAAATTTTATATTTTTTAACAGAAGGAGGATACAATATATGATATCCAGTATTATTAGGTCATACTCCTTCTTGTATATATTTTTTATTCCTAATATAAGTCTTATGGACGGTTATTAATTATATTTTTCAATTTTACATCCAACAGATTATTAAAAGAAGAATTTAACTCCAATTTAAAGTTTCTATGTGGCTTCTAGAATGCTATGTTCCTCTTGCTTTTTGGTATAAGTATAATTGGTATATTTTTTTGAATTTTAACCCTAACAAATCACTCCAACGAGAGAGTTGAAAGTAGTAAGGAATGGGGGGAGTACCTTCTAGAAGCAATGGATTATTTATTTGGTGAACAAGCGATGGATTATTTTTATTGTGAGTTAAGTTTTTCTAATATTGTTCATATTTAAAGCCATTAACTATATGAAAAAATATAATGTAAATTTAATTTTTTTTATTTAAATACAGGTATTTTTAAATAAAATTAATAATTTAATTTTGATGAGGTGATTGAATATATCTTATAATAAAGAATAGAGAAAATGTTTGAGTATTATATGAATAACTCTTTTAAGAATATTTTTTGCATTTACATGAATCATAGTCTTGTGGAAGTCATAGCAGGATATAGAGCTTATGAATATTTTGTTTTTTAATATTTTTATCATATTGTGTATATGGATTCTTCTACTCTCATTTAAAATTATGAGTTATGTATGTATATAAAATAACAATAATTATTGTGTTTTATGTATATTTAATGATTATTTTCTGAGAAATATGTAAAGATTTACATTTTGATCAATATATAAAGATCAAATAATAAATGATTGCCACTAAAAAAAAAAAAAAAAACATTATTACAATTTTTAGGTGGGTAATGATCATTTACAATTTTTTTTTGAAGTGTTTTTTGAAAAAGCAAATCAATGATGATAATTAGATTACATAATCTAATAAATTTACAGAAATAAGTTATCCAGACATATTTAATTTTCCCTTTCATTGTAAATGTTCTGGTGCATCATAGTCATCATTTTTTGCAAGACTTTATGAAAAGCCCAGGTAATTTTAATTTTGTCTGAAGATTTTCGACACGTAAGACTCCCATGAGATTAGAACTTCATTACAACGACAACACAAAAAATCCAATTCTAGTGGGACCACTCAATCCTTTCAAAAATATAAAATACATATATATAATTAATATTTAAAAAATTTCTTATCAAAAAAAGCAAAAAGTGAGGATTGTGAGGATTTAACTTTTAGACTTTAAGCCCGGGAGGCTAATGATTGTGTCAAGGCATTATTTGCTATTGGACAAAGATTGTGTAACAAAAATGTTTCTATTCTTTTCCTTTTTCTCGCTGTACTAATTTTTTTGATTAAAAAATTGATTAATAGTATGATAATCTCACTTTAGCAAGGTAAGATTTGAAAGTGAAAAGTAGTGGGAAGTACCAACTCAATGTTACTCTTTACCACACAAAATCACAAAATGTGAGTGATTGGTGCAAAACTGCAAATCCTTTTCCTTTGAATTTGAAAGCCCAATTTAAACCAAAACAATTTTGGTTCCATAAAGGTCTAGATTCACATAATTTATATGACTGTCTATATCAACTAATATCACCTTAGCTCAAAAAAAATTGTTGTTTATATGTTTTTCTTAATTCTTTTTTTCTATTTTATGTATTCATGTACTTAATATAAGACAAATTTTATCAACTTTTGTTGTTCTTAATGTAAGATAGATTTAGAATATTTTTTCAATTTTACCTCTTGTTTATTTATTATATTTTAATTTTTAATAACTATTTATTATAATTATTAATTGCAAATAAGAGCGAAAGTGAAAATTATATATTTTTTAACATTTTCAAAAAATATATATCACAATATATGCAATGGTAACTATTTCATGATTTAAAAAAATAGTTTTTAAACTTCAATATTTTAAAAAATTGTACATCTTTTTAATTATACCCTTATTAAATACTTTATATAAGTGTTATAACAATGATAATTGAAATTCTTATGGACTATTTTTTAAAATATTTAATAAATAAAATGGGAATATAGTTGAAAGAATATAAAAATTATTCAATACCGTATATTTTGAATTGGAATGAGTAATTTGTTAATTAAATTCAATTATTTTTTTCTTGGTTTTTTGTCGGTAATTCCATAACCAATTAGCGGATTCAAGCCTCCTAATCGATTTGTTCATTCTAACATGTCTAGGTTAATTGCATGAAAGGTGATAGGGAGGATTGAGTTTGATCATGAAATTAGTGCATAAGCTTTGAAAATTGATTAGGTGCATCTATAACCTTTGAATTAACATACAAACTTCAAATTTTAACTGGAATTAACGCCAAAAGTCTTTTTTTTTTCTTTTTTACTCGTTGGCATTAAATTGGAATGAAAATCCTTGAAGAAGATCACATGGCCTCTTCATTCAATTTTGGTCTACAATTTAATATCTTATGATTTCAATTCAATTTTAGGCAGTTCTGTTATTATAGTTTAAATTAAATATGTTGCTAGTGGCAATTTTTTCGAGTGCTTTGGTGCTTATTATGGAGTTCAAATCTTATATATGAAAGAAAATTGCTGCTAAAAAAAGTTTTACCACCCATATGATTCAACCTAATCCAATTGGAGTCAAACAAGATATGATATGATTTTAAAAAATCAGTTAGTAATATGAAATAGTATACATTAAAAAAGTGTTTTCTAAAAAAAAATTTCCATACAAAAAATGGGATATGTATTTTTTTTTCTAAAAAGCATTTTCCTATCTACTAAACCTTGCATAAATATATCAATTTTATTATTCCCAATTTTAAAGCTATACATACAAACATTCAAAGATAAATGTGTTCATATGTATTTTTCATTGAGAGGTAATCTAATTTTGACTTCAGACACAAGCTAGGAGTTTAATTTGATCTAAACAGGGGATTTTTTGACTCAATTATTGGTAATCCAAACTCTGATGTCCCTTCAACTTTTAGTCGCAATAGAGAGTATGTGGTCAATTTTCATGGACGTGCTTGGAGACAATAAATAATAGCATCTGATGAAAAATGGTTTAAAGAAAGCAGAATTATAAAAAAAAATTATTTTTCTTCATTTAATTTAATTATTACATTATATTTTTACAGTTAAAACAAAAGGGTATCCTATTCATGCCAATAATTAGGTAAGGAAAAAGGAAAGCAAACCAAAATTTGAGCAATTAACGGCTAGCCATCCATTTAGAAGATCAAAGATTTGGTCGTTTTTTTTTTCTTTTTTTTTTCAACTTTTTTTTTATTTTTTTCTAAAAACTTGGAGTTATTATCTCTATCCACCTAAATGAAATGAATCGTACAATTGAACTTGTCACATCCATTAGAAGTGCACATGATAAATGTCTATCCAAACTCAAACATCAACTCTCTTTCTCTCTCTAAAAGAGTTTTCATTTGAAAGATATTTTTTGAAAGTATGAATCATTAGTGACTCCCACTTGATTGAAGCCATGTTCTGGGAATTTTGTAGCGTTCAATGCATATGGTCCTACATCTAAAATATATTATTTCAACACAATTTATCAATTTTAGAGAGCGAATATACCAGACTCAATTTGTTCTCTTTATAAAAATTTGATAAAGATATTTTGGGAGAATCCCAGTATTGTTTACAAAATTTATAAATTTTAGGGAGAGAATCTATGAGACTCAATTTTATAAAATATTATAAAGATACTGATAAATGTTAATCATAATAAAAGAAACTATGATCGCTTAAATATAAGATTGTGAATTCTAATTTATGTAAATACAAAAAAAAAATCCTTAAAAGATGTACTTTCAGTTGGGTTCAATAATTTTGGCAAAAAAAAAAGGGTTCAACAGTGTTTGAATATGACCCAGCTATAATAAAAAATCGATAAAGTCGAAATTGGGAGAATCCATGTTAGTTTATATGAGTTTGAAATTTCTAAATCACACGACTTAGAAAATTCCCCCCAAAAAAAGCAGAACATAAAAAAGAAAATTATTCCACTCATGTCTCGTGCATATTTCCTACTTTAAATAATTTAAAGCCCCCCTTCCTCTGCACCAAGTTTAGAGAGAAATTAAAAAATATATTTCCTTTTGTTCTATGCCAAAAAATATTAGTGCATTCAAATTTTCATTAAAAATAATACCAAGAGAACTTGATTCAAATTAATTATCAATATCAACCTTATAATAATCATTTTGAATGATTTTAACCCCACTACTCTCTGGGTGGTTGTATAATAAAAGTGGAGTAAGTAATCATGTATAAGCATATTTTCTTTTCTGTATTGCAAATTGGGATGGATGAAAATCACTTTAAAGGATGCTTTAAACAATTACGACTTTTTTTTTAAAAAAAAAGAATATTTCTTAATACACTACAAACAATCTCAAACTAAATAATAAAAATTACTTTAACTATTATTATTTTTCACATAAATTTTTAATACAACATAAAATAAACTTAAGACAAGGAAACACTGACAGAAAGAGTATTATAGAATACTCATTTAAACAACTCTAAATTTATTTGATCAAAATTTCCACAAATTTATGGTTTCGATCAAAGAAAAGGTCCTAGTGATATAAGCTATAAACACCTTAAATAGGTGTGCGTGTTTTCTTCTTGTTGATTGAATCCTGAGCATTAACAAGTCGCAAGCACAAAAAGAAGAAAGCTGGGAAGTCATGCACGGCCTATTTTCAAGGAACGCACTGAGAATACGTCTCAACCATTAGAGGAATAAAATTTTCCATACACTTAGAAAACGAGGTCTCTTACATGTTACATTACTCAACTATCAATACAAAAAAGATGAACTTCTTTTGGAAAGGTGGGATGAATAATCTTCTACAAAACAGCATCAAGTAATAATACAGACATATCTTTTCCCACAGGTAAAAGATCAATTCAAAGGTACCACAGTTTAAAATTTCTTCAATACATCTTTTTTAACCTTACTCCTAAGTCCTACCTTTATCAGACAGAGTCTAAGAACTTGAAATTCAAAAGAGAAATAAAAATCCTAGAGCTAATAACTTGCTCCGGTTAGAGAGGAAGAGACTATAGCTGCTGCACAGAGACATGAATGCAGAAACTCCAGGCATGGTCATGTCTTCACTAGTCAAAAAATTTACTCATGCTCATGTTGAGGGAAATAAATAGGGAGCATTTATTTACAACAAACGGAATTAGTTCAGTTAGTAAAGAGAAATGAGACTTCTCATCAACATGACCAAATTTAACCCTTATAGGGAACACTTTGAGAGCCTGTTTGGTGCAAAATTGAAACGAGAACAGGAACAAGAATGACAAAGCTATTTCCCATAGATATGGGAAACTTTCCTTCTATGATGTCATTTTGCCATTGATCAAACACTATGAATAATAGTACTCATATTTTCCCTTTCCTAAAATTCCTATTCCGTGTACTAAACACACCCTTAAGGTAAAACCTTCAATATACAAGGTTGAGGCCGACGCAAGATGCAAATAAATGCCTTCAAAAATTGCCCAAGTTTTTATTCTCGGCCACAGAATGAAAACGCCCTTGACAACTGACAGTAAAAACACAAACACAAACACAAACAGACACAAATGTTTTCTTAAGCTTATTCTCCTAATTACCAACGTGAGGGAGAGAGAGGGAGGTTATCTTCATTGTCCATTATTCAGTGTTCTTAGTTTGACCTGCTGTGAGTAATTGATCTACAATCCACAATGACTCACACAGCTCAAGATACTTTCTATGTCACTTTGCTTGGATTCAAAACTTTTGGATTCAAAATCAATGAGGCCAACCCCAAGAATGATAGATGGGTACCCAAACATGTCACAATTTGGGCTGCTTTCACCTTTCTACAAGAATGACACATCAACTTCCATGGCAAGAAACATACATGAAATGGCACTACCAAAAGCCATGAGAGTGATTAACGTCATTTCAGGTCCATCTACATAAGCTATAAGCTACTCAACGTGGATTAGGTGTCATAGTCTCTAAGAAGGAATGGATTAAAACTATCTCTTGTCTACTCAATTTACAAGTAGACTGAAACAAAAATCCCCCATTTACAAAAGCACGAACCGTAAATTATATCAAGTGCCCTTCACAACCAAAGCTACACGCCAATTCAATGCACGTGTGCCAAATTCAAATTTGAAGAGAACAGCAAAATGCAAACCAGACAGGAAACCAAGAGATTGACTTCACACTTTCAAGACAACCTCAGATGGGGCTATACACACAAAAAGAAAAAAGAAAGAAAGAAAATAGAGCGCCCTCAATTCTACTTTTAGAAGGAACTTAAAAAAAAGAGAAAGGGGGGGGGGGAAGGTTTGATGTTGAAGATAGAAAATGTGTAAGAGAGGTATACAAGAAAACCAATTAAAAAAAAAAATATAGCGGCATTTGCCATGCCACATCCAGATGGATGGTTCATAGGACTGAGTATAATAAGACTAAAAATAGGGAAAATACCGCTTCAACTCCCTATACTTTAACTGTGTTTTATTTTTAGTCCTTATATTTATTTTCGTGGTTTCTTATCCATTTTATTTGCTGCATCTGAAACGTTGGTCCTATATTTTGTAAAATACTTATAAGAATCATGAGATGACCCAATCAATGTTAATTTTACTGAGGTGGACTTAACATTATTAAACCTATTACATCTAACACAAAAAAAATTGTAAAATTATTTGATTAAAAATTTGATCTGATAAAAAAAATAGGAAAAGGAATCTCACTTCCCTAAAATGACAACGCATGAGTGAGAGGGAGAATGTCATCAGAGAAGTATAAAAGCATTAGACCTCAGCAAAATTAACATTGTTTGGGCCAACTCATGGTCCTTCCGAGTATTTTAGTTTTTTTAAATAAAGGGATTAATGTTTTAGACAGGGCAAACAAAAAGGATGGAAAACCATGAATATAAACTATAGGTACTGAAAACAAAAGTATAGGGACTGGAGTGGTTTTTTCCCTTAAAAACAACATCCTTCTAAACAATTATTAGCAACATTTAGTTCTCTAGGCACTGGCTCAAGTGGAACTTCCACTGGACACAAGTGTATGGGGTTTTGGTATACGTAGGTTAATCTCTATCCTGTCCCTTTCACACTCCCAGCTCCCAGTCCTTTGTAGATTGTAAAAAAATTTCTTAAAAAAAAAAAAAGTCATAAGTTTGAATTTTGACATCGAAAGTAAAGGCATATCTTATGAAGGTATGTGTTTGTTTATGGGGGAGAGGCAAACAAAGTAAAATCCCAAAATGACTAAATATATCCAGCAAATGTTTTCTGATGGCAGATTACTTCCATCCCATACATTTATTTTGAAAAGTCAAGCCATTTAAAACTACAGTGGCCTTCTTTTACTTTTTTAAAACAGAAAAGAAAAAAAATCATATGCGCATATGAACTGAAAGTAGGCTCATTTGATAAGAGTTTTACCTCAAGTGTATTAATTATCCTATACTTAATAGAAATGCTTTACTTTTCAAAGCCCATTTAAGTCCCATCTCTAGCCACCAAAAAACAGAAGAAAGCAAAGTAGGCTTGAATATCATGTTTAACCTAAAAGTAATCTCACAGATACAAACCGATCAAGCAATCAAAAGCATAAACCTAAATATCCCCTCACAATTCGTATCTACTGAACCTAGTTCCTATCCTACAATCATAGTGATTAAAGAAGCATAATACGCTTTTGATAACCAGAAACCAGCAGTGCTAAGCCCCGGAGAAACTAAAATAGTATAATATCACCCCAAGAGTTCAGTGTTGAAAACAGGTTCAGTTTCTTGAACTATTGAGGATAGTAAGATGAACGGTAATAATGTGGAAGACCACTATAAGCAGTGATTCTATCATAATAACCAGATGGAAAATTTGGCTCTGATGAGTATGGATGAGAACCAACTTGACTGGGGTTTCCACTGGAACCCATAGGGACACTGGCAAAATCATAAGACCCAGCTGAAGGACCCGTATAAGGTGAAATGGTGGGGGTTGGTCCCACCATGCTGTATGGCGTGGCTTGTGAGCTCAAGCATGAATCCTGATGTTTTGTCAACAAACCTGTTGAATGAACAAAAGGCAGTTGGTACTGGTGTAATGCTGAACTGGCACTACCAGCATTCTGCTGGACAGCTGGAACAGATACTCGAGGAAGCTTGTTTCCATTATGTTGCTTCCGCTCCTGGCTCTTGATATTTTTCTTTTGATGTTGCTGTTGTTGTTGTTGCTGATGCTGTTGAGACTGAGGTTGAGGCTTTGCAGCAAGAGCATATGCAGGTCGTTTTTTACCCTCCTTTTCCAGTAGTTCTATCCGCTGCTCAAGGCCTGATATTGGATATTCAGATTCAAGTTTGTGGCTCTGGATAGCCTTAATTACAGATCTCAGTTTATGTATTTCTCTAGATGTGGCCTCAGCCTGCATAGAACACCACAAGAAGTATGAGCATTAGCATCACAAATAAGGATATCAATTATAGGAACGCACTTACTGGAGGCTTCCCTTCTTCGAGAATTCTTTTAGCAAGTTTCTCAGAGTCATTCACACAAGCTCTCAAAATGGGTACTGGTGGGATCTTATCAGCAAGGTTAAACTCCATAACATACTTGACAGCCAAAACATATTTGCCCCTACCCACAAGTTTCTGAACAAGATCTGAAGAGGCAAAAAATAACAACAACAACAACAATAATAGTCGTTTAATCTCTTGCCAACAAAACTACCTAAAAAGATCAAACTATTAATTATACAAACATAACATTTAGAAACATGCGGCTGCCTGTCTATGCATACATGTGAAATGCCATCATCAGATGATAAGATCCACACTATCTTTTCTCTTCACATTTTTTATGTTTTAATCCACTCATGAAATGTACATGAATCCCATCTATCAAGTACACCATAACATGCAAACATCTGAACATCCCAAGGAAATTCAAGAAAGGACTGATTTCCACATCAATATGTGACAAACACTTGTATCAACGCATACTCTTTTGAATGAAATATCAACACCTACTTTACATAACATATTAACACTTAGATTTGTCTTTCCATTGCATGCTTCATAAGCAGATGCCATTTATCTATCAAATTAATATTGCAACCTTGCACGTGGTGCATATACCTACTTGTAATTTCAATAGTTGCTTCCAAATAAGAACCCTTATCAACCATTTCTTCACTTACTTTTAAAATCTTAAAGTTTCGTTCAATCTTACTATCCATCTTCATTAGAGAACGTAATGTTGAATATAAACTTATGCCGAAGCCACAAACTTCTAAAAATCGTAATTCCAAAAGCACGTCAATACATCATTCACATGAATAAACAAGGAAATCACCAACAAGTCTGTAACCAACAACGTACTATAATTCTAACACAAAGGTAGGAATCGTTTCATATTAGCATTAAAAAGTCCTAGAAGCTCCAATATAACATCGAACAGCAATAAATTGGGCGGCATTAACTGGCCCTTAAAAGGGAAATTGTCTTACCGGGAACTTTATCAACCAACCCCATAATTCGGCAGAGCTCGGGAACTTCTTTATTGCTCGCAGCCATTGCGGAAATTTCAACAAGGTCATCCATGCTGACTTCTGAAACCAAACCATAGGTCAACACAAGATGCAAATAAGCCGAGGCCCCCGTTGCGTCTGCACGATCGTCAGTCATGAACTTCCATTTCCACTCTGACGCCAACTTCCTAGCTTTTTCTCTCGCGTTGAATTCAATCTTTGGAGATATAGCCCTCAACTTTCCCAAGAAGAGTGAGCAACATGTCCTGATCCTCCGTATTTCCGCATTCTTCATGCCATTAGCCCCACAGAACCCATCCAATGAATCCAGAACCATTGCCGCTGGGTCTGGAGCACACCGTAAGGCACCAGGAAGCTCATCTTCAAGACCACTACCTCTTCTAAAATGCTCAATAACGTACTTCCTCAACCCCTTGCCATCCATCTTCTCACAAAATGCAACCAACTCGCGCCTAGGCGCCACTGCATCCAATACTACAGTCTTTTCGGCAATTAAATCAGTTACATTCTTGGTCGAAGGGTTTGAAGATGAGGGTGGGTCATTAGGAACCGAGGGACAATCTTCAATCTTTGGGTTTTGATTAGTCAATGGTGAAGAAGAAACGGGAATTGATTGGGTAGTAAGTCCCAATTGAGGGTCGCATTGCCGGGTTTCAAGGGATTCGAGATGCTGAAAACGTTGAGTGAGAGAATTTTGGATTGAGGTAAAATGGGAATCAATGTCAGACCAGGAGAGACGGGAGGTGGAGAAGAGAAGAGAATATTGAGTTTGGAGCTCATCGTACGCTTTCTTAAGGTTTTCTTTCTTTGCGTCAATGAGTTTTAGAGCCGCAGAAATTGAATTCAACGTAGCCATTTTTCTGGGTAGCAGAGGTTGAGACTGAAACCAGAAATCGATTAACTAGAATAGCGTTGCAGTGTTTGCCAGATAATTGGTCCGAATAGCAGGCCCTAGGGAGACCGAATCCAATTCTACGGAGATGAAGACGACGACGAAAAGAATAAGACGATGCCGTAACTATCGATGGGGATCGACTTCGGTGTTGCGGAAGATTTAAACCTTGCGCCTGCAATAAAACGCTGTGCGATCGTGTGTCGTTTACTAGCTTGCCGATGGGAAACGCTGCGTGTTGACTCGGTACTCCCCGACCTTTTTTTTTTATTTTTTGGTCCGATGGGAATAAAAGCGCAGGGGTACTAGACTCTTGCATGGAGAGCGAATGACTCAGAAAGACAATCAGGGGTTCGAGAAAGACACAAAACCATCTCGCCTAGACAAGGCATTTTTCACAAGTTTGTCCGCAATAGCATTAGCTTCCTATTTGCACCATTGAACTGACATTGACCAATTTTGTCCCAGCATATTAGAAATTTTCAGAAGAATATTTTGATCAAGGTGTTGAGGAGAAGTACCTATAGTAATAGCTTCAATTGCCTCCACACAATCTGATTCAATTACAATAGTCTTCCATCCTAAGTCTCAGGCTCTCTTGAGAGCCCAAAGCACTCCCTATAATTTTGCATGCAAATTACTTCCATATTGATATGACACAGGGAGCCTTTAAGGAATCTCCTTTTATGGTCACCAGCTACTCCTCCACATCTTATCATTGTATCATCCTTCCCACTAATCCCATCAACATTGATATTAACCACTTCAAGATCTAGAGTAGTCCAGCGATCACTATCACATTAATTTTCTCGATATGAGTTTCAAATTAGATCACATAGTCATGGCCTGCACTTGAGAGATGACTCCCTGAACTTCAAACTCTTTACCCTAGAACACTTTAAAATTTTTGCAAAGCCTTAATTGCTGACATAATATAGCAAACCAAACACCCCATCTAACGCCCTTTACCTGTGTATGCTTAGATAAGTTCTAGTCAATCCATGTATGAGATAAGAATTCTGGCTTGAAATCCCTAAAAACCAATCTCTTCCAACAAACAGCCACTAAGAGACAATCGCGTAGCATGTGTAATATGTCTTCTCAGCACTCAAGACACATATGGCAAGAGTCATTAGTTTGAAGTCCTCTAGCTGCGTGTAAAGAGTTTGTCATAAGCTTGCTCCTCTAACACAACCATAAGAATGTTTTTATTTCTTTGAGGTATAGGTGCCTTTTAAATTTTCCTCCACAAGTATATGCTATTTAAAGCAAGGCTCAAATATAGTTTCATGTAAGAAAATTTAGTGGTGAACTCTCCATTATTAAACCATCTCCACCTTGTTAGATCCTTTACATTACTGCACAAGATTTTAAAAAATTGTTCGAGTATTTTTGTGGGAAGATAGTCAACAAATTTCACCATATTTCAATTGCCAAATGCAGTCAAGAACTCACCCACAGTTTCTTTGCAAAGCATGTCAGGAGCCTATTTCAGTGTATAGGTAATCAAAGCCTCATGGTGAGGCAACCAACAATCCTTTCAAAATTTAACCTTTGTCCCCTATCCAACAAGTCATGCAATAAAGTTTGAAGTTTTTTCTCAAACATTACATAAGCCACGCTAAGCACTAGAGCCGCTCTTTTGAGCCTCAACCTTAGAGATAACATCATCACCACATCCATACTTTGTCCTCATAAATCTAACTCAAAGAAAATCTCTCTTATTGATCAACTCCCAACCCAATTTTATCATAAAAGCTTTGTTTTGATGGTGAGCCATTCCAAGACCAAGCCCTCTATCCTCCTTACGACGACAAACATCCTCCCAAGTAACTAAGTGCATTTTCTTTTTGGAGTGCATTTCTCTCCAAATAAAATGACAATGCTTCTTATCAATTTCATTGCATGTATGAATAGGCAACAAAGTTAATTGCATAGTATAGTTAGGAAAAGCGGTTACAACAGAAGAGACTGACTTGTGTCTAGCTGCCAATGACAAGGTATTACTTTCCATGATGATAACCTCCTATCCATCTTATTCAAGACATACTGATAAGTATCTTTAGACACTTGTTGGTGATGCAGTGAGACCCTACGTACTTATCAAGATCAGTGGTAGAAGTAAATTCAAGAAATTTACTAATTTTCTTAGCAAGAGAACTCTTCACATTTTCAGGGAGGAAAAAACTCTAGGCTACAATAAAACGCTATGATAGGTGTCGTTTATGAGCGTATCAATGGGAAACGGTGCGTTACTTGGTACTCCCTTTTTTTTTCAACGAGAATAAAAGCGCAAGGGTACTACCCTTATATCAAGAGCTAATGAAACGCTGTGGAAGCTTTTTTCGATGGAAACGTTGTGTGTTACTTGGCGCTTCCTTTTACCAGGGTCAACTAGAGTTAATTAAATTATTGATATGGTTAACAAAATATTCTTAACTTATCTTTATTGAACATATTATCTTTAAAAATAATTTTTGTCTCATGTAATTTTTTATTCTCTATTCATCAAAAATTACTCAAGGGTAAAATTGACAGAAAATAATTAATAATTTTTTTTAATGCAAGGTAACTTATAAAAAAAAGCATGGATTCTTCATGAAAGATGACTTATATATAAGACCAAACAAAATATTTCAATTCTCCAAGAAAATGACGCTCACATGAAAACAAGTATTTAGTGTTAGCATTATTATAGTTATAGGGACCTTAGGCATAGACAAAGAAAAGTATAGGGATTTGAAATACTGAAAAAAAATATTAAGACTTATAGCAAAACTTAAGTAAAGTACAGAAACATGTTTTCTCAAATCTAAAATATTGGATGATGTTTTTTCAGTAATGGATAATGCATTTTGAAGAAGGTAAAAATAAAAAATAACATATTTTGAATATTAGAATGATAAAGCTTGACTCGTAATTAGGCTGAATTTAAATTGAAATTATTTTAAAAATATGATTTATTTGTTAACAAGTTGACTCAATTGAATTTACTTCACATGTCCGAAATGTTATTTGGCAATACACTAGGCTTGGTTTTGCTGTGCTAAGTTTGTAAAGCATCAAAGCCAAGTTTCCCTCAAATCAACTAGGTAAAGCCCAACCCACAATCCTGATTATTGTGATTTTGCATCAGGTTTGAAAGTTCTTTTTTTTTTTAATTTTTTTTTCTTGTTATAATATAAAATCTAAACTTTAATAATTGAAATTTCAGTACAAATAAAAATCTTTTTTTCCCCTTCAAGAAGGCTAGCCAAGGCTAGAAGAGAAATAAAGATCAAGTACTGGGTGCAGATAAAAATCTTAATGCATCTATGCCGAGAAGACTGAGTGCTAAGCGTAATGAGGGGATCCGGTGAGAAAGAAAAAAAAAAAGGTAACGAAAGATGAGTGGGTAGAACCGTAGAAGATCGATTGTCTGGCATTAAGAGGAAGAGAGTGCGTGTGAGTGTGGATAAGTGTTAAAATTTTGGCAGGCTGGGTCAAGAACTCAAGATTGAGATGTGAGGAAAACAAGATGTCGTAAAAAAAAACAACAACACAGTTGGCTTGTGGGCTTAATCTCAGCCTAAGCAGGCTATATTTTGCAGGCCTTTTAAGTTTGAGCCTGAAAGCACTAACTTGTCTGTTTGTTTGTTTTCATTTTCAAAACTTTTTTTTTCACAACCACATTTTGCAAAATTAAGCCTGCTTTTAGAGATATAGAAAGAAGAGGCCAGCGTATAAACCTGCATGAATTTCTGAACTTTAAATGTCACATATAATTTATGAATGTTAAATTTAATGAAAGGAACTAATTGTTCACAATATGATAAATTAATATTTGTATTTCTATTAAAGAAAATACCCACATTAGTTATTAACAATACTTCAAATATAATTGCCTTTAATAAAAAAAGATATGCACTTCTTCCGTTCAAAAATATAAAGCATTTTTAATCGAATCTTACTCTTCAATAAAGTAGTTGCCTATTTTTCAATTGATCATATTTTTTTATATTTATCCCTATTAAATAATCTATAATAAATATAAAGTCATTATTAATATGAGCACTTTTGAAAAAAAAAAAAGTAATGATTATCCCTCAAAAGATTAAAAATACTTTACATTTTTTAACATTTAATTTTTTAAAAAATATCTTATATTTTAGATAACAAGAAAAATATCACTTATAGATTCTATTATTGTGAATAATCAACAAGTCAATCAATCAATGTGTAAAAGTTGGCACCAAAAAAAAAAAAAAAAGGCCAATCCGTATGTAATATAAATTTTGTGGCAAATCACACATTCATGGATGGGCACAGCCAGGCGAGCATGTAATGTGGACCAATGGTTCTTTTTACAATTAAAAAAAAAGGACTTTTAAAGAAAAGCATTTAAAATATAACCATCTGTGTTGAAATGGAAGGAAGGCGAGTGAGATACAATAGACGTCTTTTTCATCACAACATCTTCCTTCCCATTTGACTCCATTAATATCCCAAAGCCCTGAGCCAACTCTAAACCTTCAATTTTTTTTTTTTTTTAGCAAAACAGAGTCAAATTTAGTAATGACCAAATATATATATATATATATTATACACACTATTTCACTTGTAAAAAAGAAAAGAAGGAAAGCAATAAACCCTAGCATACAACCTAAACAAACAAACAGAAACGAACAAGTACAAGCTACCCAACCCCATTCAAACCAAAACAAATCAACCAATCCCCTTCTTCTTCCATGGACATCATCCTTGCGATACCAATCCTCTCATTGAATGAGCTGCAAGCATAATTGCCTGTCCTTGAAACCAAAGACAGACTACACCCCTCAACAGATCCCCATAATGCAAAACACTGCTGCAAATCATCCCAATACTTCTAGTCACAACCCTTTTCATCCACATGCAATGATCTTCAATAAAGCTCCTGAGACAATTAGCCTCAAGATCACAGTACCGTCACTAAACAAGTCCTTGAGCCCCAAAACCTCCAACACAGCTAAACATTCAGCTTGAAAAGCAGATACAGCATCAACAAGCTTCCTTATTCCCCTCCAAATATCAACCACTACAGTCCCTCCCTAATATCCCAATAGCTGCTTTGCCTGTACGAGCACAAATACAATAAACCCCATCCACTTTAATTTTTACAG